GTTTCAATGGGTTCAGAGTAAATTTAGAGTACTGTTGGTAACTTAGCATTGTCTCTTAGAAAAATAATCATCATAATAATGTAATTAAATAATTAAAAATAACTTAAATAATAAAAGATAACCTTCAGAATGTTTAGCGATACAGCCTTGCCAAGAGGCGGATGAAGTGCTGCAGGTCCAGAGCTGATGAGAACGAGAGATGGATGATTGTGGATGGGAAGGGAATGCCATGTTTGGTGTTCACAGTCTGAGGTTCGACAGACTCACCCCAATCCCAGATTGAAGTTGCTTCCACAAAGGGGCCATCCAGCTGGCCCTCGGACATGGCCAACATGGGGTCCCCGGGCGTGGACTCCTCCTTGTCACTGGAGTTGGTCTCAGTAAGGTCACTGGGTGCTAGATCTCCAGCATTATGTCCCCAGGGGCGCAGTCCCTTTTCTGGTCCTCTGCAACCTGAGGAGAGATCAGGGTGGGTGGTTCATATCGGCACAGGACTGCAAGGTCATGATTGGTTATTATCATTCCAGGTTTTCCTGACCCTTTTACTTTGGCAAACACCAAGAGTGAAATTTGGGAAAACCGAGATTTCAGAATGGTTACCTGGCCTACATGTTCCTGACTTTGTCTGATCTGACTCAACTGTGTTTCTTCATGGCCAAATGAACATAGACACTGGAACCAAGAGGGAACCCGGCCTCTCCAGGCACGTCCACACTCTCTGCCTTGACCTCCATTCTACTACTTCTTATGGTCAGAGCTTCCTTAGGCCATACTCACGGTAGTCACTCATGAGACTATGTTTACCTGGTCAACTCAAAAGCACTCAGTGTGTTGGGTCTGAGAAAGAGGCAGGCCATCCCGTCTAGAGTTTTCTGGCTCAGGGCAGCCCAGGAGTCTTCATATAAGTCACTGTGTTTCCAGAAAGAGAACAGAGGTGTCAAAGCATCTGCAGGTCCAGTACAGGACACTGCACACCACTCCTGTGACTATGGGTGTCCCTCACCACTCCAGCTGTTAAGACGGACAAAGGGGCTTCAAATTGTGATGGATTTGAGGCCTTTTCCTGACTTAAAATTCCCGTCCAGCAATATTTAATTTAACGCAACATTGACAACAGCCCGAAGAATAAAAGGCTGTTACTCAGGGGATGGGAATCTGGCTGTGAGTCTGGGAATGCGCTGGGTTGAAAAAACGGGGTGATTCCACTGGGAACAATAGAGCTGGTGCTGTCTGCAGAGCAGATAGATGAGGGAGGTCGAAAGGAGCAAGTGGGCCAGGACAATCCTTCAATTTCCCGGATGAAGTTGCACTGTGCCTGCTGAAATGGTAAGAGGTCGAGCATCTGGAGCACCCACGACTGCTGGCAGGAATGGGGCCCCGGCTGCTACTCCAGCTGTATACGGGACACAGGGCCTCATGTTGGATTATCTGATTTTCTGCTGCTCTGGTTCTTGCTGATTCTGGATTGAGGGTAGCTGTCCTCATTGCTGGTTGACAGACTTGGAACTCTAAATTTGGATGTGCAGTTTTACCTGCAGCTCTCCGGATCTAAGGATGGAGACAGATGTGCTGCTGATGCCAGCATCTCTAGAAGGGGAAGTGGCAGTGGAGGCACAGGAGACAACAGCCCAGGATGGGACCTCTTTCTCAGTCTTGCCAAACATAGGAGAGACCATGTCTGCCTAGATTTCCAGATCCTATCCTCCAAAAGATGACATGGCCAGGCTGGGGTCCAGTGATGGCTCCTGCAAAGAGGGAGCCTCTAAAGGATCCCCCAATCATTCCTGAGACCTGAGACCAGGTCCTGAGACCTCCTCACAGTGTCAAGCATCTACCTGGCACGTTCTCAATCACTATCCTCGGAATCTATTGCCAATTCTTGAGCATGGGAGAATCTTTTAATTTTCTGTTATCTTGTTCAGTTTCTTTTCTCAATGTCTTAAAGTTATGATCACACAAGTCTTTTACTTCTTGGTTAGAGTTACCCCAAGATATTTTACATTTTTGAGTTGATTGTGAAGAATGGTGGTGTTTCTCTGATGTCCTTCTCAGTAAACTTGTCATTTGTATACAGGGAGGCTGAGACAGAGACCCACATTGGAGCACCGGACTGAAATCTCAAGGTCCAAATCAGGAGCAGAATCAGGAGAGCACGAGCAAGGAACTCAGGACCGCGAGGGGTGCACCCACACACTGAGACAATGGGGATGTTCTATCGGGAACTCACCAAGGCCAGCTGGCCTGGGTCTGAAAAGGCCTGGGTCTGAAAAGGCCTGGGATAAAAACGGTCTCGCTGAACATAGCAGACAAGGAGGACTACTGAGAACTCAAGAACAATGGCAATGGGTTTTTGATCCTACTGCACGTATTGGCTTTGTGGGAGCCTAGGCAGTTTGGATGCTCACCTTACTAGACCTGGATGGAGGTGGGTGGTCCTTGGACTTCCCACAGGGCAGGGAACCCTGATTGCTCTTTGGGCTGACGAGGGAGGGGGACTTGATTGGGGAAGGGGGAGGGAAAGGGGAGGCGGCGGTGGGGAAGAGACAGAAATCTTTAATAAATAAATAAATTAATTAAAAAAAAGAATTGGCAGGATTAATATAGTAAAAATTGACAGGCTATAAATTATCATTTTGATTCTATCCTTTTGCAGCTTGGTAAAAAAAAAATATAAAGCTTCACAAATTCCTAGGAAAACAATCTCAGAGGAGACTACCTGATCCTTAGGAGTTTGCTCCTTCATCCCCATCATCTGCAATGATCCCTGAGCCTTACCCATAAAGCCTCACCGACATGACTGTCTACATGTTAGCTGAACAAGGACAACACCCCTGAATATGAGAAAATGGGTGGGCAAAAGTCCCTGAAAGCTGAACTCTATACAAAGAAACAAAGGCAATGGAGGAAGACTGGAACAGGGAGGGATGGTCATCCCCAGCGAAGAGCACACCAATTGGTTGTCCTGTATCAAGGAGTCATCCCTGAAAACATACATACAAATAACATTAAACCGACTGGACAGTTAACGTTTAAAAATAGATATGCATTTACCTATACATATATGCATGAAATAGCACTTAGTGAAAAATGAATGTTAAGGAGAGTGGTGAGGGGTATATATGGGAAGATCTGTGGGAATGAAATAAGAGAAATGTTGTAATTAAATTATAACGTCAAAAATTTAAAAAAATAGAGCATGAGTAATATCTCCAAGTAAATTAAAATTTTCATCCTGACCCACACACCCAGATTTCCAACTGAGTAAGGGGCATCATTTTACAAACCAGCCTTTTTGAACATGGTACACGGTGCAGAACAGTGGAAGTCTGAGAGCATCTCATAGTCTACTGTGAGGTTCACTCTTGAGAGCAGAAGCTTACAGTGCCCAGTACTGTCATTCAGTTGTGGAATCCACATCTGTATGTTAGGACTCTGGACCACAAATGGACTGTAACTTTGATTGTCAGTGTCTGCTTTTCTACATTTTCTCCACACGTTACCTTTTATTAAAAGATATTATTAAATTTTACAGCAGTATAGTTTCTGAGATTAAGTAATAGCTGAGAATGTATTTTTTTTTCCAACAGGTATTTAGTGAGCTTGACAAGAAGTGTGATAGTCTGGGGACACACTGAGAAATATTATCTACATTTACATTCTAATAAAACTTACATCTTCAGCATGAGTGATAGAAATTTGTCATATAATATATATAACAAATATATATATATTTATGTATATACACAAGACAAGATATTTAAGAATTGGTAGTATATTTTACAATTCAATTTTTAACAAGTTCATACACAACTACTGTTTTAATGTTTTCCTCCCCACCATCTCCCCCTCTGGCACATACATACAGACACCAAGTTAGATGGATTGCTATTTATCAAATTCTTTAAATTACAATTGTGTTGAAGATTCTGTTACTGATGCCTAAATAAAGTTAATCTTCCTATCTACAAAACTAGGTTTAAAACTTGCCAATGGAAAAGATCTGTGTAAAGTGCTTAACAATGGAACAAATGTATCAGGGAAGATCTAATCGCTGGAAGAAGTAAATGCCCATCTGCTGTGTGACACAAGGTGACTGTAGATGATGATGATGGTCCTGAGGGTGATGGTGATGACGGTGGTTATGATTTTGGTAAGTGTGATGATAGCGAGCATCGCGACTGAACAATTCAAGGCTCACCTTCTGAGAATATGCTGGAATAGCTAGAGGTTTCAAAGCCCTGATTATTCTGCAGCCTTTCCTGTCGTTGGAAACTGAATGGACCCTCCCTGCTGTTGAAGACAGTGACTCTACAATCTCTGCTGGTGGTGAAAGTGGATTCATCAGAAGGGTCAGGTGTTTCTCTTTCCTGGCAACAGAACATTAAGAACTCTGTGGGTTTGTGTCTCCAGAGCCATGTGCTCCTTGTTCAACCTTTGAGCTGTCTGCTTTATATTTTTCAGATTCACAGGCTCCATCAGCTCCATTTATCTTCCTGCTTGCGTGATTACCATTTTCAAAGGGTGAAAGGTATCTGCCAACAGTGGGATCTATGGGTATCTCAGGGTAAATTCTGTGAAGTAATTAGTGATAATATCTCAAAAACTATTAAATTCCACGTACTTGCAGTAGTAAGGAGGCTGGGGATACTAACAAAACAGGTGATCCTCCTAACAATTTGAAGCTTCGAGCTTACAGCCTGGAAATACTTCCCTTATCAACTCATTCCAGCATAAAATGTAAGATTGACTCAGTTAAGAATACCAGGATATTACTTTGGTAAAGAGTTCTGTCAAAGCTACTAAACTAAGTATGAAACTTGAAGGGGTGATGGAGGAATACAGTTTCAGAAGTTCCTTCACGTGGTAGGAGAAGAAAATACTAACAATTTGATTCTAACGACTCTGCCACATAACTGCAGGTCCCCGAGGAACTGACGTAGAGAAGACTGCCAGATGGCATCCTCCAAAGACTAGGGACAACTATGAACAAGTCTAAGATATGAAATTATTGAATGACATTTATTAAAACAATAAAGAAAGTGTAATATACAGCATAAAATTAATGTAAGTGAAAAATATTTGTAACTGATACCATAAGGTAAAATAGATGAACAGAAAGAATGTCATATAATAAGCTTTTCTGACCTATGGATAAGTGGAAGGTGGCAAAGAGCCATCAAATGGAATGAGTTGGAACCTGAGAAGTTCTTACTCAAGACTAAATCCATACTCTTAAGAGCAGCCCTCTAGGTTTCTCTGCTGGTTAATGGTGATGTTCAAGATCTTTGAAAAGAATTTTCATTTCTGGACAAAAGCAGAAGATTCAAACAAATTCTGTTAAAGGCTCTAAGTGTTTTCCAAAAATAGAAAGTGATGGATGTAGCCCAGTGGAATTCTGAGGAGTCAAGTCTCCAGTTACTGAGAAAATCATGGGCAGGAAGATAGTATGGCCAATCCAGGTGCTGATTCGGTCTTCATCCTCCAGTTTCCGGTTCTGTAGAGCACTGTGGCCTTCCATGGTACTGGATGCAGAAGTTGTTCTGTTGCTCACTGCTAAATGAAATATAAACTGTCATCTCGATACAAACATTGTTAGATTACAGATTCATACCAACTCAGTAAAAATGAGTTTTTTAGTATATTTGTTCAAATCAATGAGACAAATATTATCAAACCAAGAAAATCAACTGTGGCCTTCATCTCAACTCTATACAGTGCTAACAATATACCTTATTTTTTAACAATATAACAATAACACTTGTGTTAACCACATACTTGATTTTGAATGGCGGTAAATCTTGATTCTGGTAAATTTTATCACTCTCTTTGATGTCTGGTGCCACAGCTCCAGAGTCTATGGAGTGGTTAACTCAGAAGAAGTCCGAGTAACCAATAGTATCTGCTCTACAGCCACTGCTTATAGACAGCGCCATGGCAAATTCAATGTGATAGACTATCCATAAGTAGATTAGGCGAATGCTTGATTATCTGACATGGGATTAGGATGCCCTTATTTGGTAAATGTGGAAGTACTTGTTTATGTTTTGGTAGAGAATGAAAAATTTCATGTATGTACTGGACAGAGGACAAAATCCGACACTCTATGTACCCATTTCAGGTGATCAGTGGACTAAACATTTTGAACTGTTGTTATTTTTAAGACTATCTATGTATCTATATCTATATATATGGTAATCATGATTTAAGACATGATTTGTAAATCACACTTTTTCCACTATTATTACTTGTTTTGTTATAACCTCACATGCTGTTGTCAGAGGTGAAATCAAAGGGTCATTTGCAATGGCAAACCAAAGCATATCTAACATATGGGGAAGTTATCTTCTAACAGAAGGTTTTCAGCTGTGTCTTTGTGATGAATCCGCAAGCTTTTCAGACACCTTATCTACCATGTCTCTGATCCTTAGGTCATCACATAGAAAGAAACTATCAGCATCAATTTATGTCAAGGAAGGAAAGGACTTATGCATCTCTAGAGGGATGCACCATGTGGAGGATGCCAATACTTTCTTCAACTTTAAGACAGAAGCTACAACAAGGACAGATTGCTTACTCAAGCTTACTTCATCAACAGTACAAAGCTTTTCTTTGAGATTTCAGAAGGATTTGTTGGCTATCGTTCTGAAGATTTTCTCCACATAGGATCCCTTTTCATCAGTAATAGAGAGCATGTCCTGTGTAAGATAAAGACAAGCTTCTATCATTGTAGATCCACACTTCTGAAGCACTAGTGTGTCTCTTATTGTACACCATAGCAATGGCAGGCATGGATGCAGAGCTACAACTGGGTGAAATAAATATTATGAATTTTTTGTTCTTTCATTTTTTTGATTCATTTTACCTTCCAAATATATTTTCTTCCCTAACTGAATTTTCCAAACTTGAAACATCAATATTTTGTTGTTGTTGTTGTTTTGAATCATTCTCTGCACTGAATCACACTTCTGTTTCCTAAGCACTTCAATGAATGGTCCCCTCTTAATTTTGCCTTCTCATCTGTGAATATCCATCCCAAGCATGCCATCCTCAGTTGCTATTGGTATATGCCCATTCCAGTGCTCCAACCATTATTATTAATTTCTGTCTGTCCTGGACTCTGTTATTGTCAGGGTGCAGCCTCAATAGTTTCATATGTTCCAGGGTATAGGGGTGTGTGTATTCAAAATGTTAGGCAGAACAGACAGACAAACAAAAGAAATACAGAGACATAGGATAGTACCAGGAGGGGAACTTAGTGAATACTGAATCTGCCCAAGTTTATATTACACATGTTTTTATACTTCACCCCAAAATGGAACGGTGGAGGCAACAGACTTCATTAACAGGACATCAGAAATAAATCAAGGGTCCTGCAGGCAGCTACTCCCTTAACTCCTGTCAGTATCCTTGAAAGTTCAGGAATAGATTTGAACTCTCTGATCTTTTGTCAAGGTGGAATGGATCTACCTCTATACTCAACATACTAATGAGCCACACCCTAGGTCAGGATCTCTTAGCCACACCTGTGTCAACAACTCGGAGAGAGCAAGAATAAGCTCAAACTCTGACTTTTAGTCACATCTGTGTAACCTGGCATGTTATGAGTCTTAATTTCTGTGTTTTAAAGAAAGTTTTAGCTCATTACGCTTCCTTAACAAAGACTTTTATTTCTTACGTCTTTGATTTTTTTACTTTTTTATTTTTTTTAAATCTTTATTTATCTATTTATTATGTACACAGTGTTCTGTCTACATGTATACCTTTGGATGCCAGAAGAGGGCACCAGATCTCATTACGGATGGTTGTGAGCCACCATGTGGTTGCTGGGAATTGAACTCAGGACCTCTGGAAGAACAGTCAGTGCTCTTAACCTCTGAGCCATCTCTCCAGCCCACGTCTTTGATTTCTTATTTTCAGCTATAAATGGCATAAGATGCTGCCACAGTCAAGAACCCAAGGGAATTTCAATCCCTCATCGATGGTTCCACTTTATAAAAATGACTACCATACATAACCTTATGAATATTTTCACTATGTTCATATTTGCAATGATTACGATCATTGTTATCAGACAATATTGTAAAATAAGCAAGGCATAGGCAGTAATTATCATGTATCTTTCATGCTAAACTGGTTCACATGCAGCATAAATTCCTGACACTAGGTATAGTGCTAAAATGGATGCCACGCAGTAAATGTAAACATATATTTCCAATGGTAATGGAGAGCTATATAAACCCACAGCAAGCTCACCAGTATTGGGGTAGGCGGATTCCCATCCTCACAAACTCTCAGGAGAGATGTTCCGAGGAGCTCTCTTGATGAGTGGTCACTGGATGTTAGAATTTGCAGTGAGGTGTTCCTCGTTTGCTGCAATTCGGGGTGGCAGAGTTTCCTTTCAGGTGTATACTGTGCAGCAATCCTTTCCTACACTATGACTATGTATTACTCTCTCTGGTGAATTAAACTGCCAGGCCGGTAGTTGGGCAAGCAGTTAGGTGGAAAACCAAACTGAGAATGTTGGGAAGAAGGAGGACAGAGAGAGAAGAGGGAGCATGGCATGATAGAGGGTATGTAAAGCCACCAGCCACTTGGCAATATGTAGATTAATAGAAACGAGATAATTTAGGTTTTAAGAATTTGATAGTAACAAGCCTGAGCCACCAGACAGCATTTATAATTAATATAAGCCTCTGTGTATTAATTTGAGAAGGAGTTGCTGGGTATTTGGGAACAGGCAGTAGGGACAGGAAACAACCAGATACATTTGGCGTTCCAACATGTACTCTGTATTTCCACATAAAACATGATAAAGTTTAAAAAGTGATTCTACACACACAAGAATGGCGTCAAGTGTGTGCTCTCGGTAGCTGCCTTTTCTCCAGTGGGCTCTGTTTGTTGGCAGTGAGGAGAGGCACAGCTCCTTTAAAATGCAGCCCTCAGGCTCCATGCTAGCTGCAAAACCAGGCAGCTTTTTTAAGAGGTCCTGCCACCAAATACTTTTATGGTGTTTCTGAGCAGCATTCTTCTTGCTGTGGGCATGAAACTAGAAACTTTCCAGAGTTGGGGCGGTAAACATGGCTCTCAGAGCTGGGGATAAATAAGCCTCTGCCATGAGACCAGACTCTCAGGGAATCGACATGGTATAAATTACTAGTACGTTTGTTTTGTTCTGTTTTGGTTTTTGCTCATGCAGATAGAAAAGGTTACAGATGAGCTGTAAGGATTCATTCAGGCAAAAGAAAAACCCTCTACACATAGATTACAGTCTGTTTAAAAATATATGTTGGCCTTGGAGGGAAAAGAAAATGGGTAAGGAAAGTCCTTAAAATGGAACAGAGTAATAAAATATATAATAACACACATGAAGATGGAAAATGCACAGATACATAATCTGGATTGTGCAAATTATTCTGCTGTCTTTAAGTTTTTTTGGCTTCTAAGAGACCTTGGGTTATGAAAACAGCTATATTAAACCAACGTATATATTTTAAAATTATCTTGACTTAAAAATTTAAGTCAAAAGATATGTTACTTTGGGGGAGAGGTTATGTGTTTGCTTCCACAGGAAATGACAGGCTGTGGATTCACTCTGGGTAAGAAAAATCAGGTTTAATTGCCGTAGATCCCCTGAAATACCTCTTGAAGCAAAATTAAAAGAAACTCATAGAGAGAAATTCGGGTTCAACCTGAAGGTCAGAAAAGTAAAACCCCTAGCCACTGGCTCTTACCTCGGCATCATTCTTAAATGGCGATCCTGCTTCCGAGAATCTCAGAATGAGATAAAAACATGAGAGCTGTCTCCCCCAATTTTATAATCGTCTCTCAGACTGGGTCAAAATCATTCATCAATGAGATTAAAGGCATGCACCACTGGGATTAAAGGCATATACCACCCTGTTCCTATGGTAAACTAGTGTAGCTACTGGCACTAATGGTGTCTAATGGTGTGTGTTACCACTTCCTGGTCTGTAAGGCTGATCAGTGGGATTGTTTTACTCTCTGAATTTCAGGCAAGCTTTCTTTATTAAAATACAAGTGAAATGCTACTACATTACCTCTTTTTGTCTAAAATTAAAAAGGCAATAACTAATATAAGAAAAACTATATATGATAAGTATAATAACTACATCATATATATATATCAATAAATATATCAACAATGGCTAGTCCACATGCATTTGACAAATTTAGAGAAATTACTCCATATCTATTCTATTTTGGTGAGTCCAAAAATCGTATACCCGATTTACCTTCTATCATAACTTGAGTCCTGCATCAGGTAAAAAGGAAAACTATAACTATCAAGTTTTCAATTTCCTCAGAGACCCAAGAATATTGACTGAATAAGCAGGGAGTGTAAGCAAACAACTTTCAAAAACTGTGAGTAATGACAGAAACAGCTAGCTGCCTGGACAGTCACCCAAAGTTCCTCTGCAACACTGGGCCATCTCTCTCCATGGCCTACAGGCCCAGAATATCTAACAGATCTCTCTGTGAAGCAGGACATTTTGAAGGACTGCCCCTCCTTGACTTGGCAATATTTGGCAGTCACTCTCTTCAGTGTCCTACTTGTCTGGTCTGACAGCACAACGTGCATAGTATCAGCAGTCAAGACAAAGCCATTTTCTTGCCCAGGGGCTTGATTTTGCCACAAAGAATGTAAATTCCATGTGTAACTTCTTTGATGCCCATTATCTTCCCTGAAGTAGATTGGTGCTGCCAGGAGCAGACATGTCTCACGGTCATAAAAAGAAGCTCATAGGTTATTACATCATCCTTAAATGCCATATTCTCTAGAATTATATAAATGAGCTATATAAAATCAATCTTTTTTGACCTTGAAAACATACCTAATATGACTACAAGTTTGACTATTAGGTGATTAACTACTGACCAGTATTTCCTTCTTTTTTTTTTTTTTTCCGAGGCAGTGTTTCTCTGTGGTTTTGGAGCCTGTCCTGGAACTAGCTCTTGTAGACCAGGCTGATCTCGAACTCACAAAGATCCACCTGCCTCTGCCTCCCAAGTGCTGGGATTAAAGGCGTGCGCCACCACTGCCCGGCCAGTATTTCCTTCTTATCCTAAACAGTTAGTAATAACAGTTTTCAAGGACTAGAAATTTGCATCACATTGTCAAATGAGATGAATAGCTACAATGGGTTGAGAACAAGATTAGAAATGTATTTGCAGTATGTTTTAACAAAATTAATCTCAAATTTGTATTAATATACAAAATTTGTGTACAATATACAAAAGTACAAACCAATGTAAAACCAATGTAAAAAAATAGTTTTTTTTAAAAGTAAATTCAATAATCTACCTTTTTATCTTATATCTTTTTCTTTTAGAGTAGATTCAATAATCCACTTATTCTTATCATACCTAGATCCTCCTTTTTTTCTTTTCAAGATAGGTTCATATCTATATCACCCTTTTTTCATTTCAAAACAAGAACCTTGAATCTAATATCCTATTTTTAGGTTTGACAATAATACTAACGAATTTGATGGAGGAAGGTCATTGGTTAATTATAATAAACCAACTGCTTGGCCTCATAGCTTAGAACATAGATGGGAGGAGTAAACAGAATAGAATTCTGGGCGGGAGAGGAAGTGAGGTCAGACTCTGCTCTGCTCCCAGAGAGACCGGACAGCGCCATGCTCAGCTCTGCAGGATAGACACGATAGCTCTGCGCTCTGAGGCCAGGATGGACGTAGGTTAGAATCTTCCCGGTAAGCGCACCTTGGGGTGCTTACACGCATTATTAGAAATGGGCTAGTCCAGGTGCGAGAATTAGCCTGTAAGGGCTAGAGTTCTTAAATGAATACAGTTTGTGTGTTGTTATTTCGGGCATGAGCTAGCCAAGCGGCCGGGGTGTTGGGGACGCAGCCCCGCCGCTCTTATTTCAACAGGACTTGACAATAATACTAAGATTTCTATGGATCCCCCAGAATTTCCAGCACCTCAACTAGCAAAAAGTATTCTAGAGACATTCCCAAAAATAAATTATGAATGTTTGTTATCATTTAAAGGGGTTCGATACAACTTGTTATGGAGAATTGTCAGGAATAAAGTTAAACAAAGGAGATTAGATTGAGGAATCTTTTTCTCAAAATAAAAAAAAAAAAGGAAAAAGAGAAATGATAGGATAAAAGGTAGATTATCGAATCTCCTTTAATCCAAAATACTACTATCAATCTCACATATTTTACATTAGTATGGACTTTGGTTTATTGATACAAATTTTGTTATACTGTATGTATATTTATAATCTGGTTTATGGTATTATGTTTATGAATTTCAATTAAAACTAATATATAACTAAGAAATATGGATTAATAATCATCTATAATAGCAAATTTATAGTCATGTCAGGCAGGTTTTCAAGGACATAGATATATTTCAGATAGATAGTCAGTCTTCAAACACATCAAAGACATACAGAATATGGCATATGACATTTAACAAGTTTTCAAAACTTTTCTCAATAGTAAGAAATAGTCTGCCGGGCGATGGTGGCGCACGCCTTTAATCCCAGCACTCGGGAGGCAGAGGCAGGCGGATCTCTGTGAGTTCGAGACCAGCCTGGTCTACAGAGTTAGTGCCAGGACAGGCTCCAAAGCCACAGAGAAACCCTGTCTCGAAAACCAAAAAAAAAAAAAAAAAAAAAAAAAAAAAAAAAAAAAAAAAAAGAAATAAATAGTCTTCTTCTGGCACCAATTAATATAGAGAAAATGATGGGCACCGAAGAAATTCCATATGGAGTTTGTTTCTTATGGCAAAAGCTAACCATGTGAAAAAGAAACTACCCTTGCCTCAATTGCTGATGGTTACTTTCCAAACTGAACTAGCAGGATACAAGAAAGGCAACTGATGAACTTTGACAAGATTAGGTTGCACTGTCCTTCAAAATTTCCTGCTTTACAGGAAAGTCCATCAGATATGCTAGGCTTTTAGGGCAGATTTGGATGCCCCAGCGTTACAGTGGAAATTTGGGTGACTGTCCAGGCAGTCTGATGTCCTTCCCATTGGGTAACATTACACCCTCTGGGTTCTTTGATGGAGTTGAAGACCAAATAGTTATAATTGGACATTTCTTTAGTTATAATAGAAAGTAAATTAGATACAAAACTTTTAGACTCACCAAGATAGATAATTAAATATTTTCTCTAATTTTCAGATGCCAATGAAATGGATATTGTTACAATAATTTTTACTTATTAACTGTTTTGTGGTATATAGTATTATATTAAAGTTAAAACCTTCATTTTTAACTAAACAAACAAGGGGAATGCTGTGGAACAATTCTTTCCTAAAGCATGAATATGTATTACTCTCATTGGTTAATAAAAAGCTAAAAGGCCAGTAGCTGGGAAGAAATTTAGGTGAGAAAGCCAAACTGAGAGAGATGCTAGCCAATGGTCTAGGGAGCAAGTCATGCTAGAAGACAAGTAAAGCCATGAGCCTCATAGCAATATACATATCAATAGAAATGAGTTAATGCAAATATAAAGGTTAGTTAGTAACAAGCCTGAGCTATCAGCCAAGCATTTATAATTAAGAGAAACCTCTGTGAGGTAAATTTGCTAAGTGGCTGCCAGGAATTTGGAAACAGGCAGGCGGGATAGGAATCCTCCAATTACAGGTGTTCCTCATTTGGGGGTGGAGATAGGGTATCAGTACTTCTAATGAAGTTTTCCTCAATTGGTGCTGGGGTGTGTGAAAACTTTGAATGGGGTACTCCTCAGTTGGAACCAGTGGGGTTAAACACACTTTGTCTTTGCTGGCATCGGAGCTCAATGTAATCATTAGATTTATAAAGCTTGTTTTCATATGTTCCACAGAATCTAAAAAGAAGAGAAATCACTGTATTTTATAATTAAACTCATTAACCCTTGCATGCCCTATTCATTTAATAGCAGTCATACTTTCTGCATCACCATTATACACAGAAATACAACCAATATTATAACATTTATAATGAGACTACATCACAACGAACATGATTTTTAGTTTTATATTGTTCATACTCCTGGGTCTAATCAGTAAATTCTGGCATTTGTCTTGAAACCTATGCATATATCGGTGTTAGAATCAAGCAGTGATATGGTATACAATCTCTGAGTCTTCCTGTATTATTTCTTGACTGATAAGCCATGGGCAACTCTAATTTAACAGCCAAATCTGCACATCCTCACATACCCTGCCTGACTACATTTCTCTGACATCCTTTGGTTTTTCCCCCTTGAACAACTATGAGGATTCAATTAGAGACCATAGTGTCTACTTCATTCCATGGGTATAATATGCTATCTTAAAACTTACAAAAGAGACAGGCATAGTGGTTATACACCTTTAATTCCAGTTCTCAGGAGTCAGAGTCAAGAATATCTCTGTGAGTTTATGGCCAGCCCAGTTTACAAAGCAAGTTTCAAGATAGCCAGGGCCGTTACACAGAGATACCCTGATGGCAAAATTGAGTGGCTATTCTAAGTCTTGGAAAAATCAGTTCAGAAGTCAAGATATCAAGGTAAATGACCTTTCCTCACATACTCTTAATAGTACACTGACCCTTCTAGGGTTTACCTCTTAAATAAACTCAGAACTGCTGTGAAGAAAAAATGAAAATTTATGGGCAGTTCCTACCAACAGAAAAACGCCGATAATGTACAGGTAATGTTTTTCTCTACAATGGTTTTAGTAAACCCCCAATCACTGCTTGTTGTAAATGATGTTTTCAGGTATAAATGTGTCTAACTTTTAAGTTGTGATAATAGAACATCTATACTGACCTCTAATTCCTCATTGTGACAAGGAGCAGTTGGACTTCTGGGCTATACATCATTGCCTGTGGGGCACGTGCTGCCACTGGGGCGGGGGTCTTCTTCACGCTCACTTCCTTCCATCACAATTTTGTCAGTCTGAGTGTTAAGGGCATTGTAAGTGTTCTCCCCATCAGAGCAAACCGATGGACTCTCGTGATGAACCGGAATGCCTTCTCCAAATATTTTTGGATAATTCTCAGTTAGGAAACTGACCAGAGAAATCTGTGACAAAAGGAGGCAAACACAGAGATCTCTGACCTTTTGCATGGTTGTAAATCTCATTTTAGCCTTGAGGCTAAAAGTTTGTACCTCAAAATTCTGAGAAAAAGTCACCTTCTAAAAAATAGACGGAAGTTTTCTGTTAGAAAATAAAAATATTTTATGACCAGATGTTAAAATGTGACCATCACAGCGCAATACCATATGGAGATGATTTCCAGTGTTCCCACTGTGATGGGTAGTATACATTGTTTTTTTTTTTATTTTTTTTTTATTTTATTGAGAATAAGAAAAAAAAAGTTTCCGCCTCCTCCCAGCCTCCCATTTCCCTCCCCCTCGCCCCAATCTTCTCCCCCTCCCCCCTCTCTTCTCCCCCTCCCCCCACTCCTCTCACCCTCCCTCTCCTATCCAAAGAGCAGTCATGGTTCCCTGCCCTGTGGATAGACCAAGGTCCTCCCCCCTCCGTCCATGTCTAGGAAGGTGAACAGTAGTATACATTGTTAACTTGTCTAAAATCCTTCCACTTGTGACAGACATGGCTGAGCATGTTTGTAAGGATGCTTCCAGAAAGGCACAGTTAAGGAGGACGACTACCCTTGAATGAGGGCATCATGTGTTGAATGTTCGATTGGGTGTCTAAAATTGAAGGGCAGATTTCATGGGTCTCTTGTTTGTTCAGTGCAGATGCAATACTAACAGCTTGACATGCAGGTTTATTACATTGGGAGGTATTTGGAGGAAGGCCTATTTGGCTGATAGTGAATAATTGTGGGACTGCAATGACAAGTTGTTTGGATCCTAACTTTCTTTTCCATTCATTGATGCTATACAATATGAGGAAAAGATGTTCTGAGTCAGATGTTGTAGATTATTATTTTATGATGAGTTACATTTGTTTAGATTATGGAATATTTGTTTAGTAATGTAAAGATGTGTTACATTCCTTTATATTGCATTTTTAAACTGTGAGGCTGTGTTACTTCCCCTGTGTAAAACACGTGATTGGTCTACTAAAGAGCTGAACATCCAACAGTGAGGAAGGAGAAGGGTTGGGAGAATGGAAGTCAGGGAAAATAAGTAGAAGGAGAAATACGAGAGGAGCAATATCTAGGAACAAGTAAGGGAAGAGAACTCTAAGTACCAGCTACACAGCAAGCCAGGGAGTAAGAAGCAAAAAAAGGTATATATGACAAAGTTTAAAGCCCAGAGGCTAAAGGAGGAATGGATAATTTAAGTTAAGGAAAGTTAACTAGAAACAAGCAAAACTAAGGCATGGCACTCATAAAAAAGAATAGGACTTCATGTGGATTTATTTGGAAGCCAGGTGGCAAGTCCCTCAAAGCTCAAAGAACAAAAAGTAAAAGAGCGAAGAGTAAAAGTAACCAACATCAATGAGGCCTTTCTTTAATGTATTTATTACAGGCCAAAGAACAATCAATAGTGAATCAGAGCCGGGCGGTGGTGGCACACGCCTTTAATCCCAGCACTCGGGAGGCAGAGGCAGGCGGATCTCTGTGAGTTCGAGACCAGCCTGGTCTACAGAGCTAGTTCCAGGACAGGCTCCAAAGCCACAGAGAAACCCTGTCTTGAAAAACCAAAAAAAAAAAAAAAAAGTGAATCAGAAACTCAAATACCAAGAGTCAAAATAACCATTTGATCTTTATATTGAATAAATCCGGCTATTTTATTATAGTATTTGAAAGATGCCTACAATAGAAAAGTGTATTCATTGGGCTGGAGAGATGGCTCAGTGGTTCAGAGCACTGGCTGCTCTTTCAAAGGTCCTGAGTTCAATTCCCAGCAACCACATGGTGGCTCACAGCCATCTGGAATGAGATCTGGTGCTCTCCTCTGGCGTGTGGGCATACATGGAGGCAGAATGTTGTATACATAAGAAATAAATAAATCTTTAAAAAAAAAAGAAAAGTGTACTCAAGAATTTCTCTAATCCAACCAAAATTAGCAACAAAAGGCTGAGGATAAATTTAATCACACTAACCAGATATTAGAACAACCGTACCTGAGAAAAGCAATCCATATTACCTTTGTTTACTCGGGAAACCACCTTGAAAACAAAGAAAAATTCCCACACCCCTCAGTGATGGCATCAAGGATTTAGCCTTGATTTCTGAACCCAGCACCCATATTTTTTTCACCATTTCAGAACACTAGCACTTAGTGGATTAGTCTAACAATATTCTAAATCACAATTGACAAAGGACTGAGATATTAATACCCATTTAAATTCTCCTGACTCAAGATACACAAACGATTCTTCCCACAGAAGAAAGAAAATCAAGGGTGCATTTATTTAAAAAACAAAACAACATCAAAACAAAAATGAACAAATGAACAAAACCCAGACTCCCAGGATATTCCTGTATTTTTGCCTCATTATGAAGACTTATTTTCCATAGGCAAAAAATGTTTGTCTTGTTACCTTTCTGGAGACATCTGGCAGTTCCGAGTTGCTGGAAGCAGGCAGGCATAGAATACTCAGGGCAATGCAAACAGCTAAATTTGATGATGTCATATGGTTGAGTTCAGAGTTTTGCTCAATTTTGTATAATATCCCGAAAAGTGTTTTCAAAAGAAAGGCATTCGGTTGGGGTATTTGCTCTAAAAGACTGAACACGGAGATAAGTTATTTTAAAACAATAAATTGTACTCATAAAATTATAAATATGAAGAAAGGGAACAGAGTAATAATCTTATCCTTTTCATGATTTTCTGAGAATCAAATGAAAAGCGGAACGTGTCCTATAAATATTGCTTAGAATATCTCCCCAAAGTCAGAAATAGAGAAATTTAATTAATAAATATACAATACATATACACATAATGATGAGTTTTTTTAAATATGGACCACTGTGACTCCCCAAATCATACTTCTCCTTTCAAAATCTCTTCTGTGATTGTGAACAATTGAAACCATTTGTTCTCAGTCAATATATTTAGTAAATGATTCTGTGCTGTAAAATCTAATGTGTCTAAGCAAACATGGCTGTGTTAGTGTTGTTCCAGCCATCAATGAACCATTACCTCTGTGCTGCAGCTACTTTCTTCTCTTCACACTCTTGGTCAGGGACACCGAGCCATTCATCATACAGTCCAGACGTCAGCACACTGCCTGGTATATTTTGAAGAAATTCCTTACAGACAAAGAGGAAATATGTGGAAAAAAAAAAAAAATCACAGAAATTACTCAAAATACTTTCAACTGTAAAAGTCCATTTAGTTTCAATTTTGTTCATAGTTCCCAGCCTGCCCTATTGGAGACTTGTCTGACGTGAAGACCCTCTGAGTTTTGAGCAGATTTTGAGTAGAGAAAACTAGCACACACTAAAGAAACAGTATCTCATCTCAAATCCCATTTTTAAATGACAAAATACACATTATGTTCATTTCTTCACAATCAAGGGCTTTATGCTTCTAATCCTAATGGCTCTGAAAAGGTGATCTAATTGCAGGGACCCATGTGCTCATGAGCAAGGGCTGAGTGAGCATAGACTTCCTTTCATGTGCTGCATGTCCTGAGAGAAAATGCTTCTAATAACATCCTGTAAGTGGTGGTGGAAATGGATTGTGTGTCTTTGTATAGTGACTGTCAAGAGAATGTCACATGGGCATGTGACACGTGAGAATACATGGGAAGCATAGTGCCATGCTCCTGCAATCTCTGCACTCAGGAGGGGAAAACGGAAACCTCAGGTTAGACGGCAATGCAACAACCTGCATAATTCCTTGTTAGCTAAAACTGAGTGGTGCCTTGATGTTAGTCATTGAAAAATTAAGATTTCAAACCACATTGACGGTTTCTGGTCACTGCTGTTTGTACTGGTCATATGGATTCAACTTTCAAGAAATGCACCAAGCTACTTTTATTATTACACATTAAGAATTATTCCGTTATCAGTTATCTAAAACTATCAAGTATTTTTAGAGCTGTCCCATGTACCATGTGTGGACTGAAGTAATTGAGACAGGCTAGTGAGGAAACTGTACCAGTTACCCTCTCTTTTATCATTAGTACATAATAGATACACAAAGCCCACCATGACAGTTTGCATTGTTCAACGTGTTCTTACAAGCGGGTCTCCGTGCTTAGAAACAGAAAACGCTGTGGCTGGTGCAGACAGTCTGGGAGGAGACAGCATCATCTCTGCCTGATGTCACTGAACATGCACCCTTTTCAGAGTATGCTTATCCTCTGAGGATTCCTGAGCCCAAGTGCACCAAGGGAAATTGCTATTGAGCTACTGCGCATACACGACTCATTGGCAATTCCTACATGGTGCTGATAGCATATTTAGTAGCAGGGTGGGCTAATTATTTAGGATGTGAATGGTAGTATAAAGGAAAATTTAGAGTTTTAATATGTGTTCCTGTATCATCTAATCTATTCCAGTTGTGTACCTCACAGAGGCAATACCTGACTACTTTATATACCTAAACTGTGTTATTTTGCCTGCTTTAAGCCATTTCTGAACTGCTGATATTCACTGTGTAGCCAGACCATAATGAGGGTCATAGGAATACTGTAGAACGGGGATGATTAATGTTAATAAGCATGCGTATGAATTGTTTTGCTATTGTAATGTTTCTCTTTCAAAAAATTACATAATTTTGGTTTTATCTTGTTCATTCTATCATTCATTTTTGCATGCATCAATGCAAGTTTCAGAAATCAAACATACCTGACTCGGCCTGCAACAAGATGACTCTCATGGGCTTCTATAAAATGACACTAAATACACTACTATTATTTTGAAACAAGTGTCCCATGAGGAAGACGGAGGCATCAAATTAAAGATGTTTAGCTACATTACTGTCCATTGTAATTGGTTTATGCTCTATCATTTGTGTCTACCGTTCTTCAAGACTAAACACAATGAAGGCAACTACTCACACAGATTCAGAGGAATTCTGAGTACAGCAGACACGAGGACTCTCCCTACCTTTAAGATAGATGCCACCACAGGGACACTTTCGTTGTTCAAGTTCACTTCTGTCCCAGAATCCAGTCTTTCTTTTAGGGCTCGGAATGCCCTTATATCACCTGATGTTCTGAAGATGCCTTTCGTGATCGGCCCTTTTTCACTAATAAAGGATAGGATGTCCTGAGAGGAAGAAAGGGAAGCACCTGTCACTCTATCCGCAGCACATAGCATGAATTCCTCTTCTAGAGAACCAGGCCAATGGTGTGCACAGGTGCAGTGCACGACCTGGCATGGGTGGAGAGGACTTGAACTGGATTTGGTGCTTCTATCATCTGTGGTACCCAACCCACCTTAATGTTAAGGCATTATTTATTTACTTATATCAGATTTTTCACAACGGAAAAGTGATTTCTGCAACTTATCCAATACACAGTTCCTGGTAAGTAGCACCCTCTTACCCTAATCTTAAGCCAATGATCTGATGCGCACTTGTTTCTCCACTTGAGGAAGTATTTTGGAGAAGCATGATTTTGTCCTTAGGACAGCCAGAGAAGGACCATGTGAGACCTACCAGAATTGCTGTGGGCAGATTGCCATCTTCACAAATGGCAGTCAGATCATTTCCAAAGAGTTTTCCTGTCTTAGCAACTGGCAGGGCTGTGCACAGTTGGTCCTGGTGAAGCACAGAGCCCCTGTGGAACCACCGAGATATGAAAGGCCATCTTTTCGTAGCTCTTGGCTCCTCTGTATCTAAAGAGGAGATGATATCATTATATGGGTTACTTTAATTTATGCAGCCTTTGTTACTGATTTCCAAATGCATAATGGTCCTGTGTAATGCATACAATCAAAGTAATAATCATTTGTAATACAGAATGCCCCACATTCTAAAATTGGCTACCCATTCTGTCATTGTGTGTGTTCTTCTTCCCTATAGTGTACGCTGATGTTAATCTTAGAGACTTGAACTGGGTGTCCTCTAGTGGGAATCTCACAACTCAATGCTGTCTGACCCCACATTACACCACGAGATTCTTGATGCCCAGTGGAACAAGCACCTGTGTTACGTACAGTCAGATGCTTCCGTGGTCACATCCTTATTCACAGTCACACTCCTGGTGTTCAGATCTAACAGTGTTCCATTATTCTCAAATGTCATAGTGTGTCTCTCCCCATTCTTAGCTTTCTTGTTGAACTTTTGGAAGACCCACTGTCAAATTTCTTTTGTCATTAGCATATGCCCTCATAGGAAAGTGTGCATGACTACGTTTGTCAGCCAGACTCTGGGTCCTTACCCCTATAGTGTTAATTCAAAGCTGAAATCAAAGTTCCCTTTTCTCTTCTAAGATTGCTTTTATTATAATATTGGACCACAATGAAATCTTAAATAGGTTAGTTACAACAAATGCGTTCAGTGTAAACAAAGGGCTCACATAACAAAATACAAAATTAGCAGTCTTCCTCAGCATACCATATAGGTTGGATATCCAATACCAAATACTTAGACCAAAATTACAAGTAAATTTATACAGATGTAGTAGGACGTGTGAGTGAGTGTGTTCATTTGCATGTGTGTTTATGCATATATACATATAGTAACTTTTTTGTTCTCGACAATGCCCCCTTTTGAAAGAAGAAATGACACACTGTATTGATTTTTTTTTTTTTTTGCAGGATAGAAATTGGAACTGAGGAAGGACACACGAAGGAAGGTAATGGACTCACTGCTCTGCTTCTGACTTCTTGCTGCTTCTCTGGGCTTTAGGATGAATCGTCCCTGTATATCTGGTTGTTCCACATACAGCCCAGGCAGGGCAGGAAAAGCTGTGAAATTTCTTGATTCCCTTCGATTGAAGGTATTTAGGCTGTTCCTCATTATAATGTCATAGGGATGCTCATGCTCTATGAGAAGAAAATAAGAATGAGCTGTAACTAATAGTAATGAATGAGACAAAACCTGCCAATGTGCTTTACCACACACTGTTATACTGTGCTCTGGTCAAAGTAGACTGGGCGTCAGTGGCCTTCCTGGGATACGCTGATCAGGGAAGGATGTGTAAGCTGAGATCTCTAAAAACAGAGAAGAAAACTTTGAACTTGTCACTTTGTTTGAAGAACATAGGCCCATCAGTACACTGTATAGGGGTGACTTTTGCTGTGCTCCCCTTTAACAGGTTTAAGCACTGCTGGTTTCTGCCTTGATATCAAGATTTTTGCATCATTGGAATCTTACTTCAGCATGGAAAGGAAAGATGTTTCTATGGTTTGGGGACAGGTAATCTTTAAGTAATTTTCTTAATCGTGTCAAGCACTGCTCTGTTCTATATTTTTCTCTTTTATGATATCTGCCACATATATAAAGAATCCATTTCCACTCACAGTATGATGACATGGTTTTCAGAAGCATCACAGTGGATGGCTTTTGCTATTTGTACTCCTATGGTTTATACTTTTCTTCTCTTTTAGAGGGATACCTCGCTCAGTCTAGATATAGAGGGGAGGGCCTTGTTCCTGCCTCAAAAAAGTGATGTTTCAGACTTTGTTGATTTCAAATGAAAACCTAACCCTCCCTGAGGAGCACATGGGGGAAGAAAGAAGGTGGAGTTAGTGGAAGAAGGGGAGGAAGTGGGAACTGGGAGAGGTATGTAAAATGAGAAAAGATTTTTAAAAATGCTTTGGCTAGAATCGTAAAGCAAACAAACAGATAGATGATAGATAGACAGATAGACAGACAGATAAAAATAAAAAGCAGAGGGACCAGACATTTTTGACACATGCCTGTATTCCCAGCATTTATTTGATTGTGACATTGTGGACCAGGTCCCTTACCCACCTGACTCAATATTAATACCCTGTGCTATAAAGAAACAAAGTATGCAGTGTGGAGGTGAATTAAGCCCCTGATACTGTCCAATGTACTAAAACCCTGAAAGTAAATATTATAAATGAAATAGTAGTATAATTTCAGTTTATTTTGAATAATCAAGAATATGCACACAGATTATTCTCAGGGTACACGAGAAAGGTTTGAACAACAAGGCAGTGTTTTCTAGTCTCCAACAGATATCCTCACTGTTACTTGTCTGAGGGTCACTTCATGTCTTAGAACATCACCTGTTCAGTACCTATTGAAAAGCCCGCTCGTGAGCAGACTTGGTAATCTCACAATTTTAATTCTTATCCTAATGCTTCTGATAAATCTTCTATTACTATTACCTATGTGTCAATATTCTTGTGAAAAATTCCAGAAAAATGCAACATAAGGAATCACAGGTGATGCCGTCAGGTAGGCTCCAAGAGTCTGAACATCCTACCTCCCATTCAGTGGGGAAATACAGGTCCTAGAGACGTGAGCTGCCTCTATTTACACGGGGTCAGAGAAATGGCGAGATCTCTCACATTCTTTCCAAAACAGAAGCTATGTAGTTAGGAGCAAACCAAACATAACTCATATAAAAATTTTAAGTTTTATTTTAGGCTTATTTATGTACGTAATTGTGTTTTGCTCTCGTGTATATCTGTGCACCATGTTATGCCTGTGAGTGTTGTGAACTGAATCCAGACCTTTGAAAAAACAAGGTAACTAGTGTTGTTAATCACTCAGACAACTCTCTAATCCCTAGAATTGTCTTTAATCTTCAACAAATGAATTTTAATTATTTTTCTTTAGAAACAAGATACCCAAAGTCTTGGTTTCTTTGTCTTTTTAGAGAAATTGTGTTTCTCAGGTAGAAGTGTGTAAGAAAATTCCAGACTTTTTCCCACCAGTTCATAAACTATTGCCAAAAGAGATGGTATCAATGTATGGTTATATTAAGTAGTCGGCAATTATGAATCAAAGAATGAAGTAATGTTTAAGTTATTTATTTTAATGTGCGTTTAACTTTAAGACTGAATGATGAAAACATTAAGAGTTCAGGGTGAGAACATTGAACTTAGTTAGTCCCTATTTAGATTTCCCTATTGCTTACCTTGGAGTAGGCCTGGGGCTTTCTCATAGCCACGACAGAACCACAGTTGGTAACCTTGAGCACTCTGGGAGGCAAAGAGATCCAACCATCACACATAGCCATTCAAAGTGGACTCTGGAGAATACCTTTTGCAAGCATTCCCAGATCTCTAGCAGGAAAACCATTAGGCGCAGTACTAATGATGTGTCCTCTGACTACAGGTTTGAGTCATCTGGGCTGATTTCAGCAGACAACCCTGGGTACTTGCACAGCCTGTCTGAAGGAACCTACATCTTTTGATCCACAGTAAAATCTGAATAACCATGGGATAAGAAATTGCATTCACCCATCAACACTTACCAACAAAAATGCTATTCTTAGATCTGTTATATCTGTTTGTCCACACTGAGTGTGGAATATTGAAGTTTGACTTTAAATGCCCACACAGCCTAGTATCCAGAGAGCCATACACCCTCAGTGCCTCAAGTGATTTCTTGAGCAAAGTATCACTTGAAAAATGTGGTAACTTCAGCAACATTGGGCAAAATAGACAAAATCACGGAGGTTTGAGGGATGCCTCTGAGTAAAAACAACTTTGACTTTCATTCAGAGATGTCCTGTCTATGGAGATGAAGGACATGTGTCTAACCTAGAAAATAGGCCAGGTGCTGAAAACAAGTTCCACAATCTAATTACCGCACACAGTGCAATGGATCCTTGAATCAACCATCTAAATATTATATTCTTTGAGATATTTAGCACCCTAGAGGAGTGGGAAAAGAGAAAATATACTTCAACTGGAGTTATCACTAAATGTACTTTACTTTTGGTTCCTGATTAAAAAGAAAGACATTGTCCTACAGAAGCCTTAATCATTAAAACTAGCAGTTATACACATTCACACAGGCAAACACAGCACTACCACATCCCATACACACACAAAGTGAAAGAGAGGGACCTGGACAAAGAGAGAGACAGAGAGAGAGAAAGAATACAAACTCACAGAAGGTGAGAGAGTGGGACATACATGCATACAGAGACACATTCGCACAAGAGAGATGTAACTACACAGAGATACACATGTATATTTAAGCACAAAAATGCAAAGATATACACAGATATGTATGTAGAGCAAAAGATCAGAGACAGAAACAGACAGACAATATGCATAAAGATTATGAAAAAGAGAAAAAAGAACACACCCGAACACATACACCTACAACTAACTACACAGAAAGAAATGAAAAGCAAGGAACTGAAGAGAGAAGGAACTACATAACAAGTAGTAAAGGAAAAGGGAGAAAAGCTGCCTTCCCTCTAAGATTGGCAGTCTTTCACTCTGGTGTGTGCTTGTGTATGACTAAATTTTGTCCATTATTTTTTAATTTTTTAATTCTATAGTGAGACTAAACAGATAGCTCAAGACCACTGGGCTGTGAGTTTCATTTCACATGAATCTTTTTTTTTTTTAATATTTTATTTATTTATTTATTTATTTATTTATTTATTTATTTATTTATTTATTTATTATGTATACAATATTCTGTCTGTGTGTATGCGGGCAGGCCAGAAGAGGGCACCAGACCTCTTTACAGATGGTTGTGAGCCACCATGTGGTTGCCGGGAATTGAACTCAGGACCTTTGGAAGAGCAGGCAATGCTCTTAACCACTGAGCCATCTCTCCAGCCCCCTTTCACATGAATCTTAAATGGCCAAGAAAATATCCAAGAAAAATGACCCTCTAAAATCTATGATTGTATCTTTGAGGCCTCAGTTCCAAAATATTATTTTAAAATATGACATGGAAATTTATCTTGATCACATTTTTATGTAAATATTTATATGCACATTTGCACATATGTAGATCTAGAAAACAAAACTCAAAGTAGCTTGATAGTAACTTACAGGCATTCCTATCATGGGGAGTAACTTCTGGATGATGTCATTGACTGTCTCCAAGTCTGTTGTTGTTATATATAAAGGCTATAAAAATGCAGAGAAAATGCTATAAAATAACTTGAGAACATGTTATTCATTGTTATTGTCTAGCCATCACTCATAATCTGCAAGCCATATGACATTTCTAATGTAGAATAAATATTTTGTTTTTTTTTTCCCTTTCTATATCATAACCCTACAAAACTGTCAGTAACATGTTTATCTTAACTTCAAGTACTTAGGTACTGGTTACTCAGTCATTTAAGCAAAAATTATTTCTTTTGGGGGGAACTGTAGCTAATATGGATCAATCTTGTTTCATGCTGCTTTCTACATATCACATATGAAAGACATATAGGCATGGCATACACATACACCCCTTACAAAAATGTTGTCTAAATTCTCAAACTCTCTCTCCCCTTCACTCTCTTCCAATGTTCCCAGTTTCCATTGCTCTACTAACTGCCTGTCACTCTCTGGTAATGAACTTGCAGTTTCATCTTTTGTTTTATATTCACATACACTGGCACAGTTTGGGATATCCTCAGTGAATATCGGGAGTTTAAAATGCTTCCTGTAGCCCTCTGTGGCGTCATTAATGGATCTGTTCAAATGCAATAAAAACATACAATACAGTAATGAATTTTCTAGTAGCTTATTTTATTGATATCATTAATGTAAAGCTATAGGTCCAGAGATATGCATACAGATTAGGGAATATTCAAAAGTATTTCAGAAACAAAGACATGTTTAGGTAATAGTTTGCTGCCCTAAGTTATGATTTTAGAAGCATAGCCAGTTCTCAAAATATTTTGTCTGCAAGAGAAGGGCAGGAACCTGCTTCACTTCACAGTGGGAAGCAGCAGATGGACTGAGTGTTCATGGTGGAGAAATCTGTGTTGAGGGGAATTTAAAATAAGTTTGTGGAGTACGGTTTACCCCAATATATAGAATAAAGAGGAGAAAGTGAAGAGAATGGCAACCGGAAATTCCTCAAAGTGAAACCAACTCTGTGTATTAATAGCAGAAGTTAAAGCAGTAGTCAGGGACCATCTAATTGACAGCACATTTGAAGTTAGTCTATCAGATTTTATAAATATATCTATATGTAGGAATATGTATTTATATTGATAAATATCATGATTTATGCTACAGGCTAGAAATTACTTTTATGCAACAAAGAAAACATTATATTAATAGACATGGGTGAAAATCAAGAGAACTTCTTTCAATATATGTTTATAAATATAGATATATAGATAAATCTATCCATTTAAAGTAAGTCTGGAGAGTACAGTTTACCACACATAGACGGTGAGGGAAGATGTATAGATATAGATACATAGATACAAATATAGCATATAGTATATAAATATACCGATATATAGCATATATCTATATATTTTTATATAGATATCCATACATAAATATATACAAATAGATATGCATATATACATATGTGCACATATATAGACAGATCAGTGTAGATAGATAGATGATAGATAGATAGATAGATAGATAGATAGATAGATAGATAGATAGATAGATAAGATACGCAGGCAGGCAGGCAGGCATATATACTTAAAATGGAACATGGAATGCCACTAAGGAATAAAGTATCAACGCTAATAATATACCTTTGGAGAAAACAATACCACCGATCTTTCTGTTCCATAGAACTGTAATGTAAAACATGGAAAACATTTAGACTCTTGAAACATTTATGCTAAGATTTTGAAGACTATACCTCATAAAAGATGTGATATGTCAGTTTTCATGAGTGAGGGCACAGGGGTGGGTGGCTCTCCACAGGAGCGGGGCTCTGATTGACCCGTTCTTTCACTGGAAACCTCACATGATTGGAAGGTGACTACAGTGTGGAAGCTGGTTGTGAAGTTCACTATTTTTATTTCCCCTTTCTCGCAAACCTGTGCCACATATTGTTATTTTATACATAAAATTAATATGTGATTTTTTCCGCTTTATGAAAATAATGATCCATGATGGGAAGAACATTCGTGCAGAGACTTTACTTCTCCCTTTGCTATGGTCCTACATTCATGTTTGGGCTGCACAGTCACATGGAAATGCGCTCTAATTTCCTATGGAACTATGGACTGATTTTTACACAAAGACTGGCACATTTCATGTTTCTACCATTAATGCTCACCCATGTTTTAATCTGCCTGCAACCAGTTTCATCAGAAGGGTGATTGTGCCTGTGATCCCCAACCTACACATGGACATAGACAACACATCTATTCTCACCATTACAGAAAGTGACATTGGAGGCACTTAGTGCTATGCATGATTGGAAACAACTGATATATTTCATTAAATGTGAACTAGTCTAAATAAGACTTCCTGCTTTTACTCCTTCATGAAAAGAAAAGTTTAACGGAAATGCCGTCATGAAACTCTTCATACATCCCAAAATACAGTACTTCCTCTCAATCTCAATGTGGGGGAAACATTACACAATAGCTATATACATTCCTCAGGGCCATTAGCAAGGGAAAAGAAAGTGTTCAGAGAAAGCCACAAAGATGATCTTCTTCACCAAAGATTCCCGAGGAAATTCCTTCCCTGGGTAAGAGCAAACTCACGGGTCCTAGGAGGTTTATAAAACTTGCAAGTGCTTGTGTTAGTTGAGTCAATTCTGTGATGAGGTTAGACGTTTGGACAGAGGAAAGATGAGAGTCCTAATTGGGGGTTGCATATGATGAGTTTTTCATGTGGACTCAAAAGAAAAATGTATGCTGCCCAGAGCAGGTGTTTGCTACACAATCCTGTGATTCCAAGATGCCACTCAAGGTATACCCAGTATGCCATGATTACATCCTCTCATGAAAGACAAGCGTGTGAATCTGACATTTATATGAACTCAGAAATTAATCCTGACTCTGATGGTCTAGTGACACTGGTCCTCATGAGTTGATTATAGACACCAAAGATATACATCCCACTGTACAAACCTTCAAGAACTGAGTTTCAATGAGTAATTATGTTTATCTGTACAATTAAAGATAACATTTTTAAAGAAATTCACTTGGAAGTATAGTAGGTATTTGTCAAATTTGATTATACTATACAATATTCCTGGAGAGAGATCAATTTCTCTCCAGGTACTTTGAGAACCCAGACAATATCAGATTGTTTGGGGAAGGAGAATGTGGAGATGGAGTAAGGCCTTGTCCTGTCCACATCCTTCAAAGGACAGAACACATCTCATTTCTACCCTAAGGATCGTGTGGAGTCCTGATGAACACCACAGATGAGAATCTAAAGAATCTACTTACATGAAGAAATGTGTGTGGTGGAAAGTACAGAAAACCAGGGTCATCATGGGAGGGAAATGATGTGGGAAAGTCATATTTCTATCTGTTGCTTTCATTGGTCAATTAAAGAAAACTGCTTGGCCCTGATAGGTAGAAAATTAGGTAGGCGGAGTAAACAGAACAGAATGCTAGGAGGAAGAGGAAGTGAGCTCAGAGGCCATGCTCCCCTCTCCTGGGCAGATGCAATGAAACAAGACGTCAGGTCAGACATGATGAATCTTTCCCAGCAAGATTGATGCTACACAGATTATTAGAGATGGGTTGATCGGGATATGAGAATTAGCCTATAAGGGCTAGAGTTAATGGGCCAAGCAGTGTTTAAAAAAATACAGTGTCCGTGTAATTATTTCGGGGCATAAGCTAGCAGGCGGCCGGGGTGCTGGGGACGCAGCCCCGCAGCTCCTACGACTACAGGGAAAAGCCTGAGTTGGTATGTAATCAGGCTAAAATGATTTCACAATTTGTAAACATTCTGGTTAATTGATTTGGGTTTTTTTCCTTGTGAATAAAACAGGATTAAGTTGACTGATAATTTCCACAGCCAGCCTCTTGTCAACACATCTCCAAGCTATATAGGTCTTACCGAAAGGTGGCCACAAAATTTCCCATGGGCCAGGACAGGAGAATGGACTTGCAAGCAGAGCTGCTGTCTCTCCCGACTATGTCCACAGAGTCACCCATCCACAGGTAACTCAGGGGGATGACATGTTTGGTCTTGAACTTTCTCTTACGCCTGAAAGAGAGTCACGTCACTGTGTTAGTTTGCTTTTCATTGTAGTTGGAATCAATTGTGCTCAGACCTAGTTCTTCCTGCTCCAGAGCAGAGGAGGACTCATCCATTTCTGTCACCTCGGCACAGCGCATGTCATGTAGATGTGCCTTCACAACATCTGTGCTGAAGGAAGTTACAGGGTTCATACTTTTTCATGGCCAAGAATAGTCAGTCATAGAATGGTTTTTATTTATGACTGATGAGTGTTCAGAATGACCATGCCGTGTTTTTAAAGACACGGCATTTTTAGAAAGCCGCGTGTTACAATATTCTACATCTTTTTAGTTAAGTGCCAAACTTTTCTGCTTATTTTCTTCCATAACTTCACTACCAAGAAGTTTGATAATATTTTATATTTTACTTAAATGACTCCATCTAATGAACTTTTCATAATAAATAATAGAGAAATATTGCCTGACTTAGCAAAATTCAAATTCCATATTGCCTGACTTAGCAAAATTCAAATTCCATTGCCCTTTCCCTTGTACTAGCAAGTCATGTCAGCAACTGCTCAGGAGAACCTGAGCTCAGTACAACGCCCCTTTATTAAGCCCATGAGGTGCATCTCATACAACTAAGCACAAAGAGGATTTGGTTTTCATATAACCTCGTCAAAGAACTAGAAATATGTCTTCCTATCAAGCTTTCTCATAAAATCAAAACTGTTTTGAGAAACAATCATATTGGGAGCATTGAGTGACTTTCTTTATATTTTTTGTATGGAGTTTGTTCTTTGATAATTTCACATGTGTGTACAATATGTTCTGATTATTTTCAATCACTTTCTCTCTTCTGTTCCTTCTATCTCTTGACAACTCTTTTTTCCCCACTACCGTGCTTTTTTATATTTTTTTAGTGATGGACTCAGTTTTACCCGGAGCATTTGTTGTGTGAACCTGGACATGAACTCTCTCTACTGGAGACTTGTGAGCTAGGAGGCAGCTACACAATAAAGACTCCCTGTTCTCAGATTCAGAAAACAATATATCAAAGTATAACCTCTGATTCAAAAATCCTACATGGAAATTTATCTAAAATCCAAAATATATGAGACTAACATGATCCCACATAGAAATTTAGGCCACCCCATTTAGTGTAAGATGATGTACTGATAATACAAGCATATCATGAAACATTTGCTTCAGAATACACACACACACACCTATGTCTCAAATATATGAAACATCCGTATTCTCTTTTGCTTTTTACCATCAAGACAGCTAATCCCATATGTGTTTATATGCAATTTGATAATATATCTATATATATGAAATGCTTAAACAGGAAACCACTAATTATAATATTTTAAGGTATAATCTGCCAAGAAAATGTAATAATAAAAATCATCTCCTATAAACTTAACAATCCCCATTTCATAAAATATATGACAATCTCAAAATTACTTTACCTGCTGTCGTAACACAACAGCAGAGAAACAAATCTTTTGACCTTTAAGAAAGTCAACCATCTTATGTTCATTAATTCTCAAAAACATGGTAAATTCCACTTACTTTCACAAACTACGCTCATGTAGCAAACTGTCAGTATTTCCTTTTGTATTTCAAATGACTTTACTACTAGCTTGTTAAAATAAATGTGAGCATTTCCAACTGTGGACTGAAGGGGAGCTGACAGGAAATGACTAGCAAGATGGACAGCTTGATGGACAGACAGACAGTCAGGCCATTCAATTCTTCCACCCTTGCTGCAGTCAGACACTAACTAACCATCGTTCTACGGGCTGGGACCTTTGACAGGAAAATGAACCCGGTAGGTTGTGTCTATATTGTAGAGCAGAGCTCTCTCCTGCAGTCGTCACTATCCTCATGTGCTTCTGTACCTGCCTCCTTTTCAGTTTTGCTGCTATCCCTTCCACAGGATCAAACAGCAAAACAGCACGTTAAATAATTCATGGTTTTAAAATATGACTTAAACATTTTTTGAAATTGAATGAGAAATATTTTAGGGGAAAGTCCATTAAACCTCAACCCTACTCAAAGATTTATGGGCCAACAAAGAGTTTTGACAGTAAAATAAATATTCTCTCCCTACAGAGAGCATATAGACAGCCCTGAAAATGCACACACGTGTGTGTGTATACATATAGGTTATATTTAGTTAGTATACATAGAATATATAGTATATGTGTATATACATGTTTCTTAACAAACATATATATGTAGCAAACATTAATAAAAAAGAAGCCATGATTTTGAAAGCTGGCAAGAAGGAGAATATAGGAGGACTTGTCAGGAGGAAAGGGAAGGATGAAATGTTAATGAAGTACTTATAATTTCAAACAATAAAAGAAATAAAAATCCTTTTCTAGTTTTATACAGTAAGGCCTAATAAAGTGTAGCGTCTCATAGTAAGGAAGGCACGATGCACATACTCACAGGTTGTCAGACACAACCAACACATCACTGAACAAGGAGAGGTGTTGTTTCTTCCTTCTCCAGCCTCTTCTCAGTTCCACGGGACCTTGGCAGAGCAAGGTTCGATGTTTCTCTCCCGTGGCTTTCTCCTCAAGGGTTTCCATTTAGGGGGGAAAAAAAAGGCTTCTCCTGGTGCAGGTCTCCAACTAGAAGAACAGGTATTCAGTGGCTGTTATGCTGGATCTCACAGGATAAAAGAGACTAAAGTACAGGCTCAACTCCCCACCTGAACTCTGTCGAGCTTTCAACAGCTCTAAAATACAACAGAAAAGAAGAGGTTGCTTAGGAAAAGGAGGATTGGGAACACAGTGCAGGAGTGGGCTCTTTTTCAGAAGGTGTCTACTTGAGAAGAGTGTACTGGAAGGGTCTTGGGAAGTGGTCCTCAGCTTTTCCAACACTGCAACCCTTGGGGAACCCCAACTATAACATTATTTTCTTGCTACTTCATAACTGTAGTTTTGCTACTGCTCTGAATCTAATGGAAGCACGAGACATGCAGAATATCTGATAAGGGACCACTAAAAGGTCACCACCCACAGGTGAGAACCACTGGCCTAGAGTGAGGAAAGGAGTGAGTGATGTAACTCTATCTCATTTGAAATCACTTTTAAAATTTGACTAATAAAGAAATTCATATTTTAAAAAAGTACTGGGATCTATGAACATCAGTCGTGATTTAAAATAAAAGTAGGAAACACATCACAAGGCGTCCTATTGGGGAGAAGATATAGTCACACTCTAGTGGGATTCAGAGAGGGGAGCGATCAATGCCAAACATTAGTGAAGGCCTAAGTAAGTGACTCCTGAAAGATGGCATTGGATATCAACACGGATATCATTGCTAACCCTAACTGCAATCATGTGTGCAATAATAGGGGAATACTTGTGTAAAAACTTGTGACATACAGATTTATCCTCAAAGATTCTCAATTCTTAATTCTTTTTTTTTTTTTAATCTAACCAGGATCCACGTGATAAAGGCAGCATCCAGACTTCACCAACACTGTGAATCTTACAGTGTAACACATGCAAGAGTCACAGGAGACTTTATAAACGAATGTAACTCAGTGAGACAGTCAGACATTTTCATGCACAGGAAAGTCGGGAAGCTTTGAAGACTATGGAGGAGACACACATGCTTAGAAATAAAGCCTCGAGCCACAAAGGATTGTGACTGAAGCAACCTGAGAGTCTGTAAACCTGAATGTTAAATGTGTAGTATAGCGTGGACACATAATAATCATAGAAATAACATATCAAACTAGAATGCCCATGTGTTTAAAATGATTGAACTTTGATGATAGTAGTAGATTGTACCTTTTGCAAACTCTGTGTTTTCAGTGAAATGTGTAACTATACAGTACTAATTAAGATAGCAAAGCCCTACCAAACTTTAAAGTCCTTTATAAAGATTTTCTGTTGTGTAATCCGATTTAAAAGGATTGATATGCTGGAGTGTGATATAAAAAAATCAGAAAGTAATCTATGTATTAAAATGCCATAATCAAACCCATTCCTTTGTAGCTGAAAGTGAAAAGATGTTAAAAAAATAAGTAAATAAAAGCAGGTTTTCCTAATGATTTAAAATAATTAGGGCTCAGGGAGCACATATATTGAGAAATTCCAGATTTGTGGTCCTGTACAAGATGGACTATAGAATGATTTATGATGGTTAGAATAAACAAAGAAAACTAAAATCAAAGCAAAAAAAAAATTGAGAAATGGTCCTTGAAGAGCAAAAGGGGCCATTTCCCTCGCCTCTGGTAGAGTGACACGTGGCTCTCCATTGGCCTTTGGCTCCTATCAGGATATCAACACCCATGGTGCCTCCAGTTCCCTGTGTCTCTATTCAAAAGTGCTTGCTATATATCTCACAGTCCCCACTTTCCTGTCTCCCCACAACAACCCCCTCTCCTTCTGCACTATACAAACCCTCACATGTTCTAGAACTCGCCTTGCTCTGTTTATAATACAGGGTAATTTTTCTCTGCCCAGGTATCTCCACAATTCTACCTTCTTTCACAGACGGTTTTGGCAACATCAAATCTGTTTCTTTTTATTTCTGCTATAAACTCTTCCAAATGCCTCTGAACATTCTCTCTTACCCACAATAATATTTTCCCTGTAATTATAACGCAGCCACCTCAGTGGTTTCTTTCCTGTGCCAGGCCCATACTGTGTGAACACTCAAAACATACACCTTTAAGTGAATATTACTCTGTCCAAAACATATGTTATAGATTTCAAGGAATATGCACTGAAACACCATAGCTTCTATTTAGCATTAAGATCCCTGTGATCAAAGAGTCAAAAGGGGCAACAGCCTACCGTTTCCTCTCACATGTCAAACATGTGTCCTCATACATGTTAAAAATAGTTCCAACTCAATTCCATGAAAAAAATTAAAGTAAAAAAGTATTTTTGAGAATCATTCCTCTCTAATCTGAATCATTGGTAAAATATTAGGAAATGGATTCTAAAGAGCACAATATATGTTGGAAACTATAACAATAAGCTGAAAACCAGAGAGTTCTTATATTTTGGGTTGAAATCTGACAGGTTTCCAAGAAATCATTGTGGTTATAGTAGGTAAATCAATGAGAAGGAGCAGAAAATAATCATCATCTCACAATTTGGGCAGATAATTTTGTAGATTAACACACAGTATTCTCCTGTGTATCCAAGACCATACCTCCCCTGGCATAATTGTATTTGTTAAGGGGATTGGTACTGAATATTGCTAACATGGATCACTTTTCATAAAACCACTACTGAGTCAAGAATTATCTCAAATGATCTGGAGTAATCAAGACAGACACTTGCTGTCACCATCAGTCTATCATGACAAACAAAACTAATTAAAATAATACCTTCACAGTGGAGCCTGGAATGGAGAACCTCTCAGTGACCGTGAAATTATCTTTTCCTTCCTTGGCACCAAGCACCAAAGATGGCCACAGCAGTTGGGAGACCAACCACTGAAGTCTGAGGACTCTGTAGTAGTCAGGGAGACAGACCACTCTGATGTCAACATTCTAAGGCTCATGCCATAACTGACAAAGTGACATATGCATTTCCTTGCATATATTTGGCTTGAAATATTATTTTTGAAAAACTGTTGATCCACAAGGGTTTATAAGAAGCATCAGATTTTCAAAACCATAGATAGATGGATAGATTTATACATACAAATATAGATTGATAGATTGATAGATATGTAGATAAATGAATAGATTGATATAGAGAATACTACATGATACAATAATCTTTCAACTAGATAGATAGATAGAGTGATAGACAGATGGATAGACTGATAGATACAAAAAGATAGATATAGATGGATAGATATAGAACACTTCATGATATCATTAATCTGTATTAAGAATCAAAACTAATTATTAAAAACACCTTTACAGTGGATCCTGGAATGAAGAACTTCTCAGTGACCGTAAAATTATTTTTCCTTCCTTGGCACCAGGCACCAAAGATGACCACAGCAGTTGGTAGACCAACCACTGAAGTCTGAGGACTCTGTAGTAGTCAGGGAGACAGACCACTCTGATGTCAACATTCTAAGGCTCATGCCATAACTGACAAAGTTACACATGCATTTCCTTCCATGTTTTGGCTTGAAATATTATTTTTGAGAAACTGTTGGTCCACAAAGGTTTATAAGGAGCACCAGATTTTTACAACCATAGATAGATGGATAGATTTATACATACAAATAAATATAGATAGATCGGTAGATGATAGATTGAAAGATGCAGATAGATAGATAGATAGATAGATAGATAGATATAGAATACTTCATGATACCCTTAGTCTGTCAACTAGACAGATAGACAAACAGACAAAGAGGTATATTTATAGATAGATAGATGATAGACAGATGATGGATGGATAAATAAATACAGATGTATAGTTATAGATTATTTTATGATATCATTAGTCTAACATAAGAATCATAACCACTTATTAACAATACCTTTACAGTGGACCCTGGAATGGAGAAACTTTTAATGAATGTGAAGTTATCTTTTCCTTTGTTGGCACTAAGCACCAGAGATGACCACAGCAGTTGGTAGACCAACCACTGAAGTCTGAGGACTCTGTAGTAGTCAGGGTGACAGACCACATTCATAGTCAACATTCTAGGGCTAATGCCATAACTGAAAAAATGACACAGGCATTTTATTTTCTTCAACACTTTGGCTTTTAAAAAAATATTTTTGAACTATTGTTAAACCACAATTGCTTGTTTTAATATAGGTTTTCATAACCAAAGGCAGATAGATGGATAGATAGATGATAGATGGATGGATAGATAGATAGATGATAGATAGATAGATAGATAGATAGATAGATAGATAGATAGATAGATAGATAGAATCACTAGCAATGTGCCTCCACAAACTCTTGTGTCCTAACGTAATCAGACACACAGGACTATTTTCTGTTGCTCACTTTTTTGAAAGGACAAATGGCCTCGTTTCAACTGTTTGTCCTCTGCTCATGGGAACCTGGTAGTGTCACATCAGAGCAAATAACCCACAAATATACAACATGCTGAGTCTGGTTTTGCTGTTTGTATGTATGTGGTTTCGAGGCATAACATATAAAATTAGATGATCAAAATGAACCTCATCCCTGGGAAATTCTAATAACTCTCCCAGAAGCCCTTAGTTACCTGTGATTTTTTTTCTTGGGGTGAAACCAGGTGAAACTTTCCCCCTTCCATGTCAACATGATATTGCCACCGATGTTTCTGGGCTCCTTTATACAACACTTTGTAGAAGAAACCTTCAGAATAGGCTTCATTGTGTTCTGACTCTTCGAGTCTTTCCAGCCCCTCTTCAGTGATGTTTCCCAAGCCATAGATGCAGAAGCTGTAATGGAGATGTGGCTACTGGGACTGAGTCCCCCATGAAATGCTGGTCTCTGTCTTCGCTGTGCACAGTTATGATTTTCTATGATGCTCTTCGTATGTTGTAAAGAGATGCTTCATTAGGAGGGGATGCTGGCTACATGTATCCACTAAGAGAAGCTGCTGCACCGAGATCTCAAAATAATTAAAATCTTCAAAACAGAAATTTTTTTTTCCAACAAGTCTACATTATATTGTCATTTTCTGTGTCCGAGAGATAAGAGTCATCATTATCTTCTCTGTAGAGCTATGGAATGAGAAGCAGAGAGGTTACACCATTTGATCAAGATCACAAAAGTATTGATGTAAAAGCAGCTGATGAAGTGCATTCACATAACTCAGTTACCCTGAGTAACATGGTCTTTTCCAGTCCACCTGACAATGTGTGAAGACCACAGTCACACCAGCTTGCAATGGAATTCATGACTAACTGGCTAATAAAACCCAATTTTATTAGACTGATAATGGCCTATTTTCTTGGATTTCATAAATTCCTGCATGTGCAGATTGTCTAGGTGTACAAAAGGTTTTGGAGATGGGCTCTTTCAATGGAGAAAGGCATGCCATTCCATCTTAACATAAAACTCATTAGGAGTATGTTGAAGCCCGACAGTGAGACACCACACTCCTTCAAAGAGTTGCTCCTGCTATCCCTCTGTGAACTATTTCATGCCGAATATCCTGAGATTCATCTCTAAACACTGCGTTACTGTACTTTTGCTTCCCAGAAATCCTGCCCCTAACACAGCCCCTCCAGGCTACCATGAAGTCGCCATGAGCTACATTTGGTCTTCTCTGCCCGCTGAGTTCAAACTCAGGAAAGAACTTTTATTTTGTTTTCTGTCTGTCTCTTTGATCCTGAGTTTGCTGATTCTGATCTGCTGCCTACCTCTCTCTCACTCTAAAGTCACCTGTCTCCCCACCTCTTCTCTCCTTGACATGTGACAAGTCTTCATACATACTGAAAATCCAAACAACATGTGTTTTGTTTTGTCCTTCATTTCCTTCCCTTTAAAATTGATGTGTTTACATTAACTTTTAAATTAATCATATCTGGAAATTCCTGTAACTTAAATTCGGTAATTTTCATTGATCACAGAAAGATTAAATTGTTGTTTTATAAGACATGGATGAAATATAGTATAGGGAATTGTTTTCTTGTTGATGAAAAAGGTGAGGTCCCCCTCTTGCTAATGAGTCATTTACTAAAAGATATCTTATTTGTCTTGATTTTGAAAAAAAACAATGAGTTGCCGTTGCGAAATGAAGACTTTAAATGTGAATAGTGGTTAATGAATCTTCTCTCATTATTTATATTTGAAAATTAAGTTGCCCCATGCTTGGGAGGTAATGAATGTTGGAAAATAAAGCCATTAAGTTGATTTTGATTTTGACTGGATCAATAGCATATAATGACAACGGCTAAGACACTCTTATCAGCATTTTACCACCATCCACGTCATTTCAACAATGAAACTCTGGTTTCCCGTGGGGAGCGGCCTGGCGCTCGGATAAGAGGTCGGGGGTCCTGGCTGCGCTGTTGCTCAGCGCCTCCTGTGGGCAGAGCCCTCCCGCAGCCCCACGAGCACTCGAGTCCCCGCCGCCGCCACGCGCCACACCCGCGCCTCCTGTGCGCGCCGCCACTCACTTGAACCCGGCCGCCGCCATCGTCGCGCCCGCGCGCCGCGCATGCGCAGCCCGCCGCGCCTGCGCCCTTCCTTCTGCACGCGTCTCCGGCGCAGGCGACTGGGAGGAGTCCTGGGTGGAGAAGCTGCTCCTTCCGTGGACGCTGCTGTGCTCCCGGGCACGGGGCGTGAACTGCAGCTCCGGGGAGCCCGGGCGTCCCACGGGCCTGTGCGCACGTGCACACACACATACACGCGCTGAATTAACAGGGGAGACTCTAAACAGTCCGGGGCCTTAGGCACCCTTAGATGACTGCACTCCAGGGCACGGGTGTGAGGCTGGCAGCGCTGTCAGTTCGCACAAGACCGGTGCATTGCACTCCGGGACCGGCCGTGTAATCCTCGGTGGAGCCGCCCGAGGGCGCTGCGGGTGTCGCCGGGTTCCTGCAGTGGCGGGACGCGGCCGTGTGGTGGCGCTGCGGGCGGCGGCCTTGGGCCAGCAAGGCCTCTCCTGTAGGGCGGGGCTAGACGGGGCGCGGCGTCGCTCGGCGCTTCCGCAATTGTGGAGCTGCGGGATGTCTGCGCTGCTGCTGCAGCTGGCGGGGCTCGGCGTGGCGCTTGCGGCCGCCGTGCTCATTTTGGTGAGACCGTGGTGGAGTTCCGGGCTCCGGGCTTCCCCTCCGCACTTCCCACTCGTTTTCGAGTCTCTTGCATCCAGATCCCCTGAAATCCTTGACCCTTTTTTGCCCCTTTGGACCTTGTCTAAGTGACCCGTCTCCACCCAGCTTCTCCGGGTCCCTGCTCCCGGACCCCCGCCTATCCAGCCTATCATCCCTCAGCCTTCATCTTGGGCCTTCAGATGCTGCAATTCGGAGCTTTCTGGTGTGCCATGTGCTGCAGCCAGGAAGAGAGCAGTGGACCCAGCAGACTAGGGTCGGTGGGTGAGCGAGAAACAGGCCCAGACCTCGTCTTGTTTTCGGCTAGGGGTCGTTTTGTCCCAGAATCAAGTACCTTAGCATTTTCTTTGCCATTCTTCTAGAAACGATGCAGACCCTTGCTGGTATGTAAGTAGAAAAGGGCAGATTCGCCAACAACTCTGCCACAGTTTCCAGAGACTGCCACTCATTCAGTAAAGGGGAGATTTTGAAAAGCTTCCTTGGCCTTGAGACCAGGTGGCTAGACAGTTGGCCAGGAAGGCCTCTGTCGCCTTGCCATGCACGCACATTCATAGTCTAGGAATGGTGTGGCCTGGTGACGTTGTCGCTGTGTGTCTGGGTGAGCCAGGAGCCCTTTCTTGCTAAAACGCCTTCTTTAAAGACTTGGAACAAACCTGGATTTTGTCGGCACAGTTCTGAGTTGAGGCTACCTTGCCTTGTGTCAGTGTCACTGATCTAGATGAGTGTGTGCACGGTGAGGTTGTGTGCACTATTAGATGTCCCTGGCTTGAAGTAGTAGAGGTGCCCTTTATTGTACAGCGTCGTGCTGCGTGTTGGGCTTGGGGTGCAGTGCGCTGGTAGTCCAAACTCATCGTCCATCTATCTGCCCGCAGTCATTCCTTCTCTCCAGCGTCTCCCAGTTTTTAAAAATCATTTAAGAACAAATCCAAATAACATTTCAACCCTAAATCATCTGCATTTTTTTCTGTCGGGATCCCTTTTTAAAAACCATGGCTGCAGTCAGGTAATTTGAACTGTCTTTTAAAACCTAACTAGTTTTTCTGTGGTTCCCAATAGCCTGTCCATTTCAGTTCTCTGAGTTTGCCAGTGTAGGTTTAACAGGCTGCCTTCCCAAGCACCTTTAATTTTGTCTGCCTTCCAAATTTCCTGTAGGATTTGAGGATTTAATTAAAGGCACGTGTGAGTCTATTTTTCAGACGGGTCTGTGGGGGTTTTGTTTGTTTTTGTGAAAAGTCCTCAGGTTCCCAGTCACCTGAAACACCTTTTACATCCGGAGGCTCAAGTCTTTAAGACTCTGAGATCTTCCCCTGGTGTCTTAAAACAATGGCCAGCTTTTATTCTTGTGTTTTTTTACAGACTCCGGTGTCTGTACATGTTTCTAGCCACTGCAGTGATTAATCTTGAGGCTACCATCCTTCTTCCCAGGCCTGACAGGCAAGCACTTCAAGTGGCCCACGTGCCCCTTTCCCCGAAGCCCTCCTGAGTACAGATCGGTTTTGCTTTCTGTCTGCTTTGCTGTGTTAACATAAACCTTCCCGCCCCAGATCTGGGTTAATCGTTTTCTTAGGAGCATTGATTGCTTTCTTGAAATCCTCACAACCTAGACAATAGAGTGGACAGCCAGACTCCTTTCATTTTTTAAAGGACTGTATTTTATGTTTTTTAAGTGTGCATGTGTGTGTGTACATGCACACGAATGCAGAATCCAGAGACATTGGGTCCCCAGAGCTGTAATTACAAGCAATTAGTTGTGAGTCACCACATGGGTGCTGGGAACTGAACTGGGTCCTCTGCAGGAGCAGCCAGTGCTCTTAACTGTTTCAGCCCCAGGAGCCTGCAAGTCTCTAAGAGATGCTGTTCTCAGTTGGAATTTAGAATAAATATCAGAATGCATTCTTAAGCACTATAGTTCCTGCTGTGGGGCCCAATAGGCTGACTCAGTTTGGTCCTTCCGTGGTCAGCTGCCAGATGGATTTGTCTGCCACATACATGCTCCAGGCAGGATATGGTACCCACCATGCAGTCCATTTGTAAGAGTGGGCTGGACTTCCTGTATTGACTTTTGGATCTGGCATAGAAGAGACCCTGGGGGATGAGTGGTGGGTCAAGGCCTCCTAAAACATTTAGCACATTACTATGGGGTCAAGGACAGTCATCAGTTCATAAGGGGTTAATTAAGGCCTGGCTGCCAAGTAACAGCATAATCACCTCCAGAGTCAAACCTGAGACTCCAGAGTCTCCCAAACAGCAACAAAAATAAATAAATAAATAAATAAATGTAATAAAAATTTTTAAATTGTGCAAATAGTGATGTTTTAGCAAAGCAAACACTAAAAGAGATCAATGTAACCCACTTTTCACATCTCCCTATAGGTATCTGTCATTGCATTTATAACGGCTACAAAAATGCCACCACATCACCAACATGAAGAAGAGAAATTCTTCCTTAATGCCAAAGGCCAGAAGGAAACTTTACCCAGCATCTGGGACTCACCTACCAAACAGCTGTCTGTTGTTGTGCCTTCCTACAACGAAGAGAAACGGTGTAAGTTCTACTTGAGTTCATTCCCTAGTGGGTCCTTTGGGGAGAAAAGAAATCCTGCAGTGTTTGCCCTTAGAGAGGAGGGCACGGTTGGCAGCTGTGACTGGGAAGAGGGGAAGTGAAGTGGCTGGACTGAAGTCCTGTGGTGAGAACAAGGGACATTCTGGGTGAGGATAGACTGAGTGACATCCCTGAGGGTTTTGGTAGATGACAGGCATGTCTTCCTATATGAATAAAGTGTGCTGGGTTTGCTAACTCATTTTCAAAAGCAATGTATAAAATATTTTTTTCCCTTTAGTGCCCGTGATGATGGATGAAGCCCTGAACTACCTAGAAAAGAGACAGGTATCACTTCTCTTTCAATGTCACATCTCCGGTTAGAACTGAAGCAGGTCAGCAGTTGTAGACCCCAGCTAGGCGCACTGTGGGAGGCAGGCCCAGCATGCAGCATGCTACCTCCAGAAGGAGACAAACCAGGGAGCTGCCATTTCTCCGGTGTCTGCTCCCCCTCCTAATTGTCTCTTGCTCGGTGATGTAGATTATGTACCAGGGAATGCGGCCAGGCTCACTTCTGTGATGTCCGTGTGTGTGCAGTATTCACGTACGGAGATCCATTGGGGCCCTTATAACACAATCTGCAGAAGTTTGCTTCTCAAATGAGTGCATATTGATTATGTGATATGAGATTACAGCCTTAGAATTTTAAATGATAACTAACCACACAAAAAGAAAATATTGTAGTACAGCCTTTCCTCAGAAACGGTCGCCAATACCGGGCTTCCTAACATCTCAACATGCATATGCAGAATACTGGGCTTCCTAACATCTCAACATGCATGCAGAATGCAGATGCTCAAATACCCTAGGCAGGCATGCTGCAGGGGCTGTGTTCCCAACACTAAAAGATGTCTTTTTAAAATGCTTGCACATTTTATATTCAGAAGCACAGCTGTTGCTTAGGTGACAACTTTGTTAGGACTGGGATGGCGTCTTAGTGGGTAACGGCTCTTGCTGTGCCAGCCTGAGGGACCTGCGTTCAGTTCCTGAGAAGCCACAGTGGGAGGAGAGGACCAACTGCAAGTTGTCCTCTGACCTCCATGCATGTGCATGCCCACGTGCGTGAGTGTGCACACATGCAATATCAAAATAAATTTGAAAGAAAATCGTTTTTAAATTGCAGTTTACAGGCTGCCAAGGTGGCTCATAAGGTAAAGACCCTGCAGCCAAGTCTGACCATCTGAGTTTGCTACCTGTGTCTCACATGGTAGAAGAGAGTGGACCAATACAAGTTGTCCTCTGACCTCTGTATATGCACCGGGGTCATTCCCACACACGTACACACGTATGCACACACACACAAGTGTGAAAACATTTAAAATATTGTTGTAACTTTATTAATCTCTATCATAGTTTTGCCAGATTATGATTTGTTGCTTTTGGTTTGTGCAGAAGCAGGACCCTATGTTCACTTATGAGGTGATAGTAGTTGATGACGGCAGTCAAGACCAGACGTCACAAGTAAGTGTGTGTGCTTTAGAACGGCTGGTCGGTGGGAAACCTAGAGCCGTTTAGGACATGCGGCCTATTTGAGCTTGCTGGGGAACCCAGAGCTGTGCTCCTTACTTCCTGTCCCATGTTCACCTAAGGGTTCATCACTGCAGGGAAGTCACAGAGGCAGGAGCTGGGAGTCAGCTGGTCACATGACATCCACAGTCGGGGACAGAGAGAAACAAGTGCACCCACACTGCCTGCTTGCTTGTTAACTTTGTTCAGTCACACAGTGTTTGGTGCTCCAGTGTGCTGCGCGTTCCACTCTCAGTTAACACTCAAGACAATCCCCCACGGAAATGCCAAAGGCCAAGCTGTCTAAGGAAGTATGAGCTGCAGTGGTGGTGTCTGTG